CTCGTTTATGTTTGTCATGCCCAACTAATGTCAGACAGTGTATTTATGAAGACACACATACAAACAGATTATCGTGTTAGTGACAAATGGAACCTAATAATTGTGTTAGTGACAAATGGGCCCTGTGTACCTGGGAGCGCACTGAGCACATAAATGCATACAAAAAGTGAATTGCGCTGCAGTAGAGGGTTAAAAAGTTTCAGAAGAAGTTTTTTACCTTGTAATGCGGTCGCTCTTGTCACGGACTTCAGCTGTCCTCTCTGCTGGAGAGTTGAAAGTTGGAAAGTGTGTGAAATTTAGTTTTTCGGGGAAGTGTTTTGCTAAGGGAATTAGAAGCATGAAAGAGTGATTGATAGTTATTACTGAAATGTGATTGAAATTAGTTTCCTTCCTTAGAGGTCTGAGTGAGGTGTAGACTTTCTAAGCAGGTTAAAATGCAACCAAACATAAGCAATCATAATTTCTTAGTGTGTTATTAAATGGCCTGTAGTTGTATAGTGCTTTACTAGTCCCTAAGGACCCCAAAGTGCTTTACACATCCAGTCATTCACCCATTCACACACACGTTCACACACTGGTGATGGCAAGCTACATATAACCACAGCCACCCTGGGGCGCACTGACAGAGGCGAGGCTGCCGGACACTGGCACCACCGGGCCCTCTGACCACCACCAGTAGGCAACGGGTGAAGTGTCTTGACCAAGGACACAACGACCGAGACTGTCCAAGCCAGGGCTCGGACCGGCAACCTTCCGATTACAAGGCGAACTCTTGAGCCATGATCGCCCACAGTTAAGTCTTTTTTTCATCTAAAGCCACAGGCCCCAACCCCTGGGCCACGGACCGGTACTAGTCTGTGAGTCGTTTGTTACCGGGCCGCGAGAGTTGAGGCTCGGTTGTGAAATTTATGGTTTTCAGGGTTTTTATCGTTAACTGTGTTTCCCTGGGTCTTTCCCTGTGTTGTAGTTGTGTCTTATTTTGAAAGAACTATTTATGCATTACCACCTGCGACCAGAGAGTATTAAGGGGCAGAGAGGAGGATGTTACTCTCAATGTTGTTAGCGTGTTTCAGGAGGACGCTGCTAATAAAGTTACACAATTGCACAGTGAATTTGCATTTATTATTATATTTACAAAATACCACAGTTTTTCTCTTGGTTGTATCATTTTATCCACAACACCTTAAAGGCCGGTCCGTGAAAATATTGTCTGACATTAAACTGATCCATGGCGCAAAAAAGGTTAGGGATCGCTGATCTACAGCTGATCTATATCTGTTAAATTAGGATTTTCCATGATTTTCTTTTTCAATATTCGACTATATACATTAATGGAAATATAATCTATAAGGTGAAAACAGTTTGGAACGAGGTTAAAAAGTCAGTACGTTGGCAGTACATTTGGCATCATAGTCATGGTAAAAAAAATGAAGCTACTGCCAATCAGACACTCTCCAGATGTTACTATGTAATAGATCAAAATCTAATCTAATCTAATCTAAAAATGGTTCAAGGTACAAGTTCTGGGCTGAAAAGAGGTGAAAAATTTGAAAGGCCTTCAGAAAGCCTGGAGAGCAATTGCTTAAGACCACTTTAAAAAATGACAAGAATGTCTGCTTTGTTAGAAGCGAAATACAAGGGAACGAGTGGTGACTCTTGACTGCACTTTATTTGTCAAAATCTTTGTGTGCGAAACCCTCGTAAGCACCTTCGCATTTGCCTACACAGGCAGCTCTAATGCATTTCATCTTGGATGACGTTATGACTATGACATCAACAGCTGAACTCTGTTTGCAGGTTCAGCCAATGCCAGCTTTAAATTGGCCCTCAGATTTAAACCTTAGTCGTAATCCAGTCTTGACCATGAATCAAAGTTAGAACCAATCTTTAACTGTCTTCACTTTTCACTTTCCCATCTGAGGCTCAAAAACTCAGTATGAAACTCTGAAAGGTAGAAGTACAGAACAGGCATACACACACACACACACACACGCGCACATAGATCAAAACAGTGTGCACTCCTGAATGCTCCTCCCTTCCAGCCCAATCCCCCACCCCCTGCAGTTTTCATACTTGGCATAGAGACAAGCTCACTACCCGTATTCATTTTATAAAGATGAAAACACAATCAATACAGTGAGCCGGGAATTGGAAGTCATTTTCATTAGAGCTGCTGAGAGTTGTGCAGTCATTACCAGCAGATAGCACAGGGGGCCCCGACTGCAGGCAGCCATTTGTATTCTAGACGCCTGCCCTTCCTCTCTCCTTGCAACCCCATCTTACCTCTTCCATCTATCTATACCTCCTTTCCTAGCTTCATTTTTCCCTCCTCACAACATCCGATGCACCTATAGAAACATTTTCTTCTAGGTTATGTTTCCAACTCCATCTGAGAAAACAACTCATATTTCTAAATGTTTTTTTTTTAAATTTACATTTCACTTCACCTACAGAACACTTGCAGCAGACACGGTCCTCTCTCTTTCAAGCCATCCACCACAGCCATTAAAAACACTTGTGGTTTGTTTGTTTGTTTGTTTGTTTGTTTGTTTGTTTGTTTGTTTGTTTGTTTGTTTGTTTTGGAAATGAGCTTCAGGAGCTATTTCATATTTTTCTTTTTCCTGGATTTTTGTGCACCCCCACCCCCCTCCCATTTGCTTGCTCCCTTCACACCAAATGTTTTCAAATGGAGGGAAACAAGTTAAAACACCACAACAAAATGCAACAAGAGAGACCATCAGCACATGCTCAGGGGAAATAACAGTAGCTGGCAATGGCCATTGAAAGTTGCAGCAGCAAAATAGAGGTGTTTTGTCTTTTTCTTTTCTCTTCACCCTCTGTGACTCTGGGCACTTTGAGCTCATTGTCATAAAAATGGAATCTGTCACCCTGCTATAAACCTCAGTCAAGGTAGAAAAGAGAACAAAGAAAGACGCTTGGTAGGCAGCCACCTACAGAGCTTCTCTAAGTATACAAGCGTGAAAAGTCTGCAATTTCAAGACAAGGCTGGTGCACGGTTATTGTTACTTTTAGAGGTATGCAAAGGTACAGATGTCATTTCAATACATCTTATTTACCATTATTTATTGTTGCTTTAAACTAAAGACAAAAAAAGATGAAGCTGTGTTAGTTATCTTCAGAGAAATGGTAATCTGTTACCACATGTGGGTAAAGTTGTTAAAAGGACCTGTAAATGTATGTCTACTGTAGAACAATCATATACTGAAGTGTTTTTACTGATTGAATCAATTTGCTAAACCTCCCTGGAATGAAATAAAAAGAGAAACTGAGATTTAGATAAAAAGACAAACGTGACATTGTGACACATATAATAGACTTTGGTCTTTTTTTTCATGAAATCTTAGTAGTCAGAGTATTACTACGTAAGCGCAGTGTACCACAAACATACAGTCATTTCTAAAACAAAACAAACTGACCTCTGAAAACAAAGAAACAAAGAATGGTGGGCTACTGTGATACTGACTGCACTGTGAAAAAGGTATTTGAGCTTGAACAAAACATGCAAACAATTAAGCAACAGTTGTCCAAGATCGGATACTGATGTCAGTCCAGAGGGTTGTTTAACTTGTTCATTTTTATATAACCAAAAGTGCAAAACAAATGCAGACCTATAACCTCCTAAGACCCGAACTCTTCCAGAGCATGCATTTTTAATTTCTCTTTGATATTTGGGCATATTGGGGCCCGATGAATGTAAAAACAAAGAATTATCAAATGTTTGTTTTTTTTAACCTGATTTTTGTTGCTAAGAAAAGTGAGAGCCACAAATGAGGATATTTGTTAGAATTTTGATAGAACAGTAGCAGTATAATGTCCTCGTAAGTGGATATCAGGCCCTTGCAGAGCAAAATTGAGTATTTTGGTCTAAATAACCCAAAATGTGATGTCCACATATGTGGACGGCAGGTCCTAGGAGGATAATATAAAAAAGAAAAAGAAAACTCAAAAGATGGAAGTTCTTGGTTGCCTTTGGGATGCCATGGGATTTGTGTGTGTCTGTGTGTGTGTATTGCATGACCTTTACTCTGGGGCCAATCCTTAATCATTAGTTGGCCATACAAGATAATTATTTGGTAGATTGACAGGAGATTTATTACATGCATATTGCCCAAATATGAAACCTATAGCAAGTACATTAAAATGGTAATATAACCTTGGTACCGTTGCCGGTGCTTGCTGGACTGTCTGATCACTGAGGTTCTGTCTTCAATATTACATAGACCCTATAATCTATCGGCTTTACCTTACAGTGTAAAACACTGTTGTTGTGAATTGCCATTCTATTTTTTTTTTTTTAAGTATTACTTTAAAAAAAACAAAAAATATATAAATATTAACATTTTCTGTACATATTCTAAGTATGTATGGCTATAATGTTACAATATTGTTGTTTTTTAAAGAAAAATAAAAGGAATATAAAATAATGTGACAAGAATTTTAATTTTCTCATAATTTGAATGACAGTGTGATTGCATTTTATGGTTTTTAAATTTAAAAATATATATATATATGTGTGTGTGTGTGTGTGTGTGTGTGTGTGTGTGTGTGTGTGTGTGTGTGTGTCCCCATAAACATAAGATACATTTTCACTTTCAACCTTAGTTGTTAGTCATACTAAATAAAGGATCATGAAATAGAACTGCCAAGATTCAGCTTTGAAGTATCAAGAAAAAAAATTGATGAGAAGTACTTAATGAAAAGGTTTTTTAAGTAAGAATTAGTTCAATGTATGTTGTGGACTCTAATTGGTTCCCACTTTTAAACAGCATGAAACTTGATTTTACAATTCATTCACTGATAATATGAATGCCGTTCATTTAAAACAAGGTATGCAATATGAAATATATATATAATATATAAAATATAAAAGGTATTGCTGATATAGGGGATCAATAAAAGATCTCAAAGACTGGCCGAAACTAGCTGATGAAGAGCAATGTGATCTTACTCCTGTACTTACTCTGGTGTTTTAATTTCAGGCCACAGCGGGTGAACTGGTTGAAGGTGGATGACGACGTACCTTCCCATGCAGTTATCACCGGCGCCGATCTTTACATTGAAAATCTAAACAAGTCCTACAATGGAACCTACCGTTGTGTGGCATCCAACTCAATTGGAGAGGCTTACGATGACTACACCCTCTATGTCTATGGTACGTTCATCTATCACTGATCCACTAATATTTTATTATCTCTTACTGAACAAACTTCCAGGTCTTTTCCTTTACTTTCTGAGGCTTTCTTTCTTCAGAGGACCAGTTCTAGTAAAGTATGAATTGTTGCTTCCTTGTACTCTGTCTGAGCTATATTAACATTTAAAGATCTTCAAACCTTTGGCCTTTTTGAAGAAGTTTTAGGAGAGTGAACATAAACAGCAGAATAATTTATTTGTAGAGTGATGAATGATTTTTAAGACTGGTAAGCAGTTAACTCTGGTGCTCATTACTAGGTCTTGGAGCACACTGAATACTCTACTGGCATAATCCAGAGTATGCAGGCTGACTTTTAAATACGGTCTCTGTTTTATTACAGCATAGACTTATTATATTTATATGAACAGCTTGTCACTGTACTCTATTCACTTTGTTAACCTAACTGCCATGCACCTTCATGTAGGAAATACATTACAAAAACATTTGGTCTCTAATAAACTTTTAAATGCATGATTATTGTTATTTAAACAGGATTGTTGTTCGTCTCACTTGTGCCTCAGTAACACACCTATGCTCAAGCAACTACTTAAGATGTTGCTTCTATTTTGTTCAAAGAAAACACGAAGATCCTGTCTCACAATTGTGTCTTTGTATTTTGACTGGCTATTTTAATTAGACACATTTTTGCATACACACATTTTAGATTTTACAAACAAATTCTTGTGACATGTCTTGAAATTTTAAATACTTTGCTGCAAAAATGGAATTCCAGATATAAGAAGGAAATGTATTGTTAGTTTGACTAGTGGATATAACAAATATAACTTAATAGTTAAAGTTAGAAAAATGAAAAATATCACATTTTTTGATGGCTTTAAAAATATTAAGTTCACTAGGTAGTGTGGATTAGTTCCAGACTTCTGAATTTAGCTCTGAGCGTAATAAACTAAAGTTCTTGTAGGCCCTAGAAGCACACTAGAAGGTGGTCGGCAATTGGAGAAAACAATAATAGCTGCAATTCCCTTCAGTGTGTGGTTTGCTCAAGAAGTAAACATCACTACATCTGCTCCATTGAGTTATTGCATTTTGTTTTTAATATACTGGCCCTGAGACCACAGAGTATTATTACGTCCTAATATAGCTTAAGTGATTTTTATGTATGTGCCCTAAAATTTGCCTTAAATGGCTTTATGATCTTTACAATAATACATGTAAGCAAAAATTACTTTTATAGATGATGCAAAGTATGCCCTCAGCTTGCTGCCTGTATGTTGGAGTTGCTTGAGGATGCTCCACCTGTGGACTCTGTTGTCCTCTTGATAGGCTCCAATGCTCATGTGGGCATGATTGGGAGGAACGGCCTGCCAGATCTGAACTCAAGCAGTGTTCTGTTACTCGATTTCTGTGCAAACCACAGTTTGTCCATAACAAACACCACGTTCAAACAGAGGCACTCTAGGCCGCATGTCGATGATCGATTTTGTAATCGTTTCATCAGATCTGCAACCATATGTTCTAAACACTTGGGTGAAGAGCAGTGCTGAGCTGTCAACTGATCACCACTTGCCAGAGGTCCCTGTCCACAAGATCTTCAACTCCCACATCCGGCAGAACTTTGACAGCATTCCAAGGGAGATTGAAGGAGGTCACTGAGGCAGTTTAACAACTCCTTGGTGGCAGATCCCCTGGGGCTGATAGAATAGAATAGAATTAGAATAGAATTCAACTTTATTGTCATTGCACATGTCACAAGTACAAGGCAACGAAATGGAGTTTGCATCCATCCAGAAGTGCTTTAGTATAGATATATTACAAGACATATATATTATATATTACATACAAGTTACATTTCCATAAATATATATTACAAAAATGATGAGTTTCACCCTGAGTTCTTCAAGGCTCTGGGGTTGTAGGGTTGTCTCGGTTGACATGCCTCTACAATGTTGCATGGAGATCAGGGGAGGTACCTCTGGATTAGCAAACCGGGGTGGTTCCCATCTTTAAGAAGTGGGACCAGAGGGTGTGCTCCAACTATAGGGGGATCAGACTCATCAGCCTTGTAGCAATGGGCCAGACACCCATTGCTACCCATTGCTGATTATATAACCGCTGCAAGAGCTTGGTCCGCATAGCCAGCAATAAGTCGGACTAATTCCCAGTGGGTGTTGGACTCCAACAGGGCTGCTCCCTGTCACCAATTCATTATTTTTATGGACAGAATTTCTAGGCATAGCCAATGGGTGAAAGGCTTGGCTCAGCACCTCCAAGTCTGAGGCCATGGTCCTCAGCCAGAAAAGGATGGAGTGCCCACTCCAGAGATCGACAAATGGATTGCTGTTGCCACAGTGAGGTGAATACTGTACCAATCCATTGTGGTCAAGAGAGAGCTGAGTGTAAAAGCACAGTTCTCGATTTACTGGTTGATCTACATCCCTACCCTTACCTGTGGTCACAAGCTTTGGGTAGTGTGCGAAAGAACAAAATTGTGAATACAAGCGGCGGAAATCAGGTTTCTCCGAAGGGTGGCTGGCTTCACCCTTAGAGATGGAGTGAAGAGTTCGGCCATCCCTGAGTGACCTCCTGTGTGAGGTGTTCTGGGCATGTCTCACCGAGAGGAGGCCCCGGGGCACACCCAGGACAAATTAAATCTCTCAGCTGGCCTGGTGTTCCCCCGGACAAGGTTGAGGAGGTGGCCAGGCAGAGGGAGGTCTGGGCTTCTCTGCTTAGGCTGCTGTCCCCCTGGCTCGGACCTGGGTAAGCGGAAGAAAATGGATGGATGTATGGATATGATGCAAAGTGTACACGGCTACATGCTATCTTTTCATCCCCCAGCTGGGATCACTGGATGAGGGGTGTGCATTCCGTTAAGCACCGGAGCTCCTGTCCACACACCTGGAGTTATACCACACCAGCTTCAGCCTACTTGGACCAGTTTTACTCATTTATGTCGCTTCCATGTTGGTCCCTTCTTTTTCTGTATGCATTTCTGTCATTCTCATAAACATATTCTCAACATGTTTTTGTATTGTTGATACCAATAGCATTTAATACCCGAGCAAGGCATTATACTCTAATGCGCTCATTTTCCCTGACCAAAATTACTTCACTATCCCTTTTGGTAGACCCTGAGCATGCAGAGAAATAATTTGGCTGCTATTGTGAGATGGAATTAGCAGAGTGGCAACGCTTGGGGTTTATTTTTTATGTGGGGTGTGAAATACAAGTTCAGTGCCTGATGGACACCAGCTGAAAAGATGTTATTTACAGCAGAGCGAGCTGCTGTGCTAATGATGAGTACACTAAAACAAGAGAGGTACCATTGCAGACCAGGAAATGGCTCACTGCCACCTGCTGTATTATATTTATTAGTTATTATGTTAGCTGTGTCTTTTCCAGAACTATTTTTTTCTCCTTTTTATCCAAGGATAGTATGAAATCACTGCTACCTAACTATAGATGTGGAGCTTTCTCCAAATTTGTAACATTTATAAACATGAACAAAATTTTTGACTGAAAAAACTTTTCCACATTTACTGAGCCACTAGGGCACAGTAACTGGTAACAACTGCAATTGAACCTGAGTAATTTGTTCATGTTGGAGAGGAGGTTTAAATCACATCTGAAGCCTCCTGCCAGAGAGGCAGTCCACACTGACAATCTCTCTCCACAGGCATTATACTAAACAGCTAAAGGACTAAATACTCTATCCTGTAGGAAAATATGATGCTGAATTTTTTTTTTCAACTACACGTATTCAAACAAAACCATTTTTTAAATAAAGTCATGCTGATGTGTTTATCATAATGGTCTTTTTTAATAATTATATTTTGCACAGAGCTGTAAAACCTTTGTAACAAATGTAACAATGTAGCTGAAGCTGTAATGTGATTACTGAATTTAGTACTGTACAGTACTTTGAAAGAAACATTGTAAATATAGGTCAAATTCCAGCTACATGTTTAGTACAGTCATTGTACAATGCAATGTGACCACAGTAATAGTGTTATTTTGTAACAATGTAACATTGCTACTTTGTAACATGCGCACTAACCCTAAAAGTGCCTGTCTGTGCATGCAGATGTGTTTGTACTCAGTTACAACACAGATAAAAGCATCAGTAGCAGTAAAAGTGTACCTTAAACCCATGTTGTCCCTAAGTAGCAAAATTCATAAATCACAACTTTGCATTCAGTATAAATTTTGTGGTATTTATTGCTGGCATTTTGTGCCTCTCTCTCACTAGTCCTAACCAACAAAATCCCATGGTGAGGGCTGCAAGTCGGCCTCTCTTATCCACCCACACTCCCCCTGGTGAGAGAAACACAAAGATAATCATGGTGCAACATGTGGGCAACTAAAAGCCTTGCACACAAAAAAAGAAATCCGCCATTAAAACCACAGAAGACCTCCATCCTTTTAGAGCTAGTCTTTTGATGACTTTGATGTGTCCGTGGGTCCCACACTCCTAATGTCTACAGTAATTCAGCAGCCAATCGTGCCAAACATTCGCCGTGCTAATGGGAAGACAGGATGTTGTGGTAGAGCTGTCAGAAGCTGATTCTCACATTATGTTTCAGAGCTCCTTCCAACACACATATGCACACACACACACACACACACACACACACACACACACACACACACACACACACACACACACACACAAGCATGCCACCTGCTGCTCCAGCACTATCAGCACCATGAAAGCATCTCTGCAGTCAACCTTTTACGTCAGCAGTAGCTTTAAGAGGGGCATGGCTCTGCACAAAAACATGACCCCTATAGGCAATAAACTGCTTGAGTGAGTCACACTGACCTCAGCTTTGTTCTCGTGTTTGTGTTCCATTTAGATAAAAATGAGCTCTGATGCATATGCCCATTTCATTTTGGTTTGTTTTGGGCTGGTGTGATAGCTGCCAGTCACACTGCGAGAGCTGTCAGGTAAACTAAATACATGGATCGTGACTACGTGAAAAATAGAATTCCACACAGCATTC